TCACTTCTATCGGGCCCCTCTCAACCTCCACTGCTCCTAGAAAAACACTCCACCCTGTCATATCTTCCCTCATAGCTCAAACTCTTCAGGCCAGGCATTAAACTTCCTCTGCAATCTCTCTGGATCCACCATATCCTCCCCATAATATAGTGACCATATCTGCATGCAGTATTCCAGTTGGGGCCTAACCAGCATTTTGAACAGTTCCAAAATAACAATCTTGCTGTTATTCCCTGCCTTTGCTAATAAATGCAACTAAAGGGGATCCTGTCTCTTTAAGCTGCCAATTAATTATTCAGTTTGATGCTGTGTTGAGCAAGCAAGTGAGAAAAGGATCTGGTTCAGCAAGTGAGTGAGTAGAGAAACTGGTTCACGTTGCTGCTGGAAATGCAGTGTCAGCTTGTGTCAAAACACAGCAACAATCTAGAAAATCAGTAAACTAAGGAAAGCATCAGCTGTTTTAGGGTCAGTTCTCATTAGGCAGGTGCATGCTTGCAAACAACAGAGTTGGAATAGCTACAATTTAGCAAAAGCAGTTCAGCAAGAGTACGAGGAAAGGCGGTAAAGCACAGGCCTGGGCAGGATCATTCAGTAAGCAGGCTGTAGCTTTTGGCCAAAAGTCCACTTGGCATGATTAGTACCCTGGAAAAATGTCCGATGTGCCCAGGAATCAGTATCACTTTTTCAATTAGTCTAGCCCCCTACTCCCCCGCCCCCCCAGTCTGGAGGCTGAGCAACTCCTACAGCATAAATAAGATTGCGACTATGTATAGTATAATGAGACTGCCAAAAACAGTCCAAGCTGAAACATCAAACAGTTGCTAGACCGCACTGCCATACTCACTCAGGTGAAGGTTCAATGTAGAAAGAAAGCAAACCCTGATGAGCAAACAGCAGGCTGCTGAAAGTAATGTGCAGGCATATAAGGCAATGTGTTTTGCCAAATGCACATAAGACCACTGATATCTCTGACTGGGTGACACAGAGCTTGTGCTGTGTAGGAGAGTGCATTTTTTTTTAAATTAACTTGTAGGACATGGGCATCATTGGTTGAACAGCATTTATTTTGCCCTGGAAGGTAGTGCTTAGCTGCCTTCTTGAACCACTGCAGTCTGTGTGCTGTGGGTAGATCCATAATGCTGTTAGGGACAGAATTTTGTAGGGGGAGTAATTAAACAAAATATGGCAATTATGTTAAAGTGCTCTATGTTCGCAGCTTTGGGGCCGCAGTTCAGCTCTTAATGCCCATGGTGAGCATGAATCTGTCTCATAGTGTTACTACAATATTAACTTGCATTTATAGAACATCTTTAATGTATTAAAATGTGGCAGGGTGCATATTCAAACAAAAATTCTCACCAAAGACATTTAACAATCATGGCTTAATTGGTAGCACTTCTGGCTCTGAGTAAAGCTTGTGGGTTCAAATCCCATTTCAGAGACTTGAGAACAGAAACTCGGCTGACACTGCACTGTGGTACTGTGAGGGATTGTTCCGCAAATGAAAAATAAAAGTGATCCCCAGTCTGCACCCACAGATGTAAATGTTACCAACACAATATTTTAAATAAGAACAACTAAGTTTTGCCAGTGACCTGACTAACATTTAATCCTCAATCAACATTACTTGTCATTGAGGGCTTAAGTTGTGGATAAATTTGCTGCTGCGTTTCATTGGCTGCAGAGCAGTTTGGAAGGTTGAGTGGTATTCTAGAAATGCAGGTTTGTAATTAGTAGAAGTGATCCATAACTTTCTCAAACTCCTGTTTTAAAAATCCTCTTTAAAAAAGCTGTAAAGGAGTTGAAGAGGTTTAGGGAAAAACTTTCATTGCTTCAATCTTCAAGATCTGAAGGCACAGCCACTCGTGTCTGAACAAAGATCTTGGGGATTGACCAAGCGGTCAGAGTTGGAGGAACACAGATCTGTGAGGGTTGTAGGGCTGAGGAGGATTACAGTGAATCTTCTGTCAAACAGGTCATTGACAAACCCACTTGTGTACTGAAATTACCACCAAAATGCATGTGTTCATGTAAACACAGTTTGTCTGGTCTATGCAATGGGTGATTTAATGTTTGAAGAACATTTATTTTTGTTTTTCTCACTTTACCTAGTTGGATTTAGTCCCCTATTTCAATGGGAGCGAGTTGAATGTCAATGAGAAGCTTTCCCAGTGACTGGATTTCGGTGGGGGTTAAAAATATCAACATTACATGAGGATGAAATATTTGACCCACTTTGTTTTTAAAGAAAAATCAGATGTGTCCGAAGTGTCTTAAATATAATTGACCTGTATCCATCCTAGCCTTACTGTTTTGGAGCCTTGCTGTTTGTCAACAGGCCAAAAGTGGGGAGGGAAAAGGTTAAGATTCACACTGTACCAACAGTGTCAAAGAATGTAGTCTTGCTCGTTTGCCTGACCCACAGGAAAAGAAACATACAGATTATCAGATGCACATCCCTGTTTCAACAAATACATCACTATGGGTGAACCTGTACATCAAAGAGTTGTTGGTTACTGATGAGCACACAAATTGAGTTTGAGATCACAACCAGACCAGCCAGATTTTATTGATGGGCACAGCAGGTTCAAAGGGCCAAATGGCCTAATCCTGCTCCTAAATACTCTGTTTCTCTGACTACTTTAGTATCTTCACCTTATGTCAGCAATTTGCTGACCATTGCCGGGGTGCACTTCGAGACCAGCAATCCTTGAGTATATCTCAAAGTGTCAGTGTTCCTAGGCTTTGGAGTGAACTTGACCATATACTTACAGATCAGTCATGATCTTATTGAATGACAGCGCAGATTTGAAGGACTAAGCAGCCTACTGCTGTTCCTTTTCCTTGTCCTTGTCCATGTGCTTTTGCCACAAGTGGATTCACTGTTTTGCAGTTGTCACTGTGCTTGAGATCAGCTGACTGAGCACAGATTAGGGTTCAAACCCTAGTCTACAAGGAGACATGGAACAGTCAGCCTTTAACAGACAGCAAAAATAATGCAAACTGTCCTGAGGTTTTTCTGTGCTGTATATCCATTTTATCTCTGGTTTTATTTAAACATTTCTCAAGACCAAATGCACATGCAGGTTTCCACTTTACGCAATCATAATGACTTTCAGCATCTGTGAAAGGGATTTCCTGTCAGTGACTTAATGTGACCTGTTATGGAGAGTACAGTTCTATTCATGAGGCACATTATTTGAAACAGCAAGTTTGTGGGGGGGAGAGATTGCGTACAGTTTGGAAATTCAAACTGAGTTAATTTAAATGGGGGGGGGTGTGGTTTGGATTCTCTTCACTCTCCCCGCCCCTTCAATAAAATAAGTACTTAGCCTTTTTTGGTGTTACGCTGACTGCTAACAGTTCAGGCATTAGATTGTTGTTTCTGAGATGCAAGTGTTATATATTTCACAAGAAACACAGGATGTTCAGTCCTGACTAAGAAAACAAATAGGGGTTTGGGAGTGGGCCCTGTTCTGGGAGTGTTCTGCCAGTTTCAAGCACCATTTAACCATGCCCTGCTGTGTTACTGCAGGTCTCTTCAGCAGCCAATAATCAATTAACCCTTCAATCGCCAACAACTCCGGAGAATAGCTCCCATCCTAATGGTGGCTGGTTTCAACTATGCAGTACCTTGTGAAATAAAGACTGACTTGCTGTTAAGTGCTGGAACTATAAAGAGCTGTTTTAGTACTCTTTTAGTTTTATAGAATTAATCACTTTTGTAACATAATACAGTATTTTATTCACAAATGCTTCCTCACCCCCATTTCTCAATCTTATCTGTTTTAATCCAAAACTTTTAACTCAACCTGTTTGCTGTCTAAACCATCATCCATTATACTTTCAAATCATTGACTGGGGCAAAATTAGTCTTTCTACTTCGTATTTACCATATTCCTTTCCTTGCCTCAAATCCTCCCATCCCCACCATTAACATTTCTACCACCATCACCTGAATTCAATTGCAAAAGGCTGTTTCTCCGGCAGATTGGAACCAGGATTTGGAAGCTCAGGTCAATGATAGACGTGGTCATTTTAGAATAGGGCAACAGCAATAGCACCAGGAGCCAAATCACCAAGCAAGGAATGCTCCCCATGGTGCTTGAGGAATTAGTTCTGCAGAAGACACTGAGTCTGCATGGTCCACCTGTTGGAAGGTATTTGGGGTGTAGGTTTTTCTGGCATGACTTGAGCACGTCTGTCAGGTAAAACTAAGGCTTAGAAAGCATAAGTGGCACCTGTCAAATATGGTTAAAGTACCCCTGAGATTCTCCTTCATTTCCCCAGGTTTATGTACAGAGCTCACTCATGAGGTTTTAAAAATAATAAGGATTAGGACTAGACCATTAAGCCTGCTTTGCCATTCATTAAGATCATAGCTGATCTCATTAGGTCTCAATTACACTTTCCTGCCAGTCCCCCATAATTTTCAACTTCTGTCAATTTAAAACAAAATTCAGCTCACTTAACCTTGAATATCATTTAGGTCCTAACCTCCTCGGCTGTCTATGTAACAATTCCAAAGACTAATGACCTTTTGAGAGAAGAAATTCCACCTCATTCCTGTCTGATTGGGAGACCTTTAATTTTAAACTGTTCTCTCTAGTTGTCGATTTCTCCCACTAAGGAAACTTTCTGACAGCATTAACTTTGTCAAATCCCTGCAAAATTTTAACTTGGTTTTCACTCTGCTCTGCTTCCCCCAGATAATGTACCATTGTCACATGCATGCAAACATACACATGCACACCTGCACTGTTAGAGCCCCTTTTTCTAAACCACCTCCAGTGCCTTTGAATTCTTCTTAAATGTAGTGGCTAGAACGGTGTAAAATATTTCAGATGAAATTGAACTATTATTTTAAAAAGGCTCACCATAACGAACTTTCTTTTGTGTACATCTTGCTTGAATTTTTGATTATATAGGCCTATCAGTATTGCTGTCAGTTATGAATTCTGTTTTCCGTTCATTGATTCCCATGCTGAATGCTGTTTCAGGAGTACATGGTCTTCAGACAACATACTTACATGAGACTGGATGGCTCATCAAAAATATCTGAGAGACGGGACATGGTGGCAGACTTCCAGAGCAGGTAAGTGATAGACTGTGCACTGCTGTGCCCCAATCTACAAGAAGTCTGTAGTTGCTTTTCAAGAATATTGGACAAGTTTGATTTGCTTCCTTATTTCTTAAATCTTTATGGAGTGGGATATTGGCATAATCTTCCCTTGACCTTCTAAACAGGTCGCTATCTCAGTCTATATTAGTTTTTACCCATGTTCAACTACTTATTCAAATCGGGAAAAGATCAGGTTGTAATTTATTGTATTTTGTCCTGGATGTTGCGACTCTTAGAAGTATGGGTTGAGGTCTTTTTGAGCAGTTCATCATTAATCACCTCAGCTCTTATAGCTATTCTTCACTAACTCCAAACCTTCTTGGCCAGTTCTCCATACAAATCAACCCTTGCAACCAGGTACGCTAAAATTCCATTTTATCATGGATCGGATCTAATCCAAGCCTTAGTTCCACAGTACTGACTATTCTGTCGGTTCCATCAAAAATTCTAGTAGCTTGGGGCCTGTTGTTATGTTGGATTTGATGCCAGTTAGGCTAATTCCATCCTGGTCTAATTAAAGTCTTTTAATTCCTTCCACAACTTGCTGCTCACCACCATCCCCAATTTGAACGCACTTCCACCTTCCAAATAGCAATGGTATCGAATCAGGAGAGACTGGCTTCATAAATTGAAGATGGATGACAGAAACAGCATGAACTATCAAGATATGAGAGAAATTCTCTGCCAGTAGTTTTCACCCCTTGCCGCAATCTTGCAATGACGTTGGGATGGGTTTAAACTTTCATCTGGAATAATATGATGTAGCTCCAGCTCTGTAATGAAATCTTCAGGATGGTAAACCCTTCTTTCTTTCTGTCTGTCTTGCTCCCCACCCCACTTCTGTGCCATCACCTGAGTGAACAGTTGGAGAGTTGCACATGGGGTGAATAATGAATGAGAGATGTCACAAAGACTTAACCAGAAAGCTTTCGGTGGGATTTGAAATGCCAGTCAAGTTGAGGGGGAAAACAGATGGAGGTGAATTTGATGTAATACGTTGAGATCTTGTCTGATGGTTTTACTTCTTGGCGGCAAATCTGACCCGGTGCACGGATCCAAATTGAATACTGTACTTTAGTTTACTTTCCCAATAAAGTTGCATTATTTCAGCTGTCGGAGAGGAATCCAGCTACATGTTTTGCCCAGGCTTAGAGTGATCAGTGCATTTCCTCAGCCATACACTTATCAGGTCTAGAAGTAGCTGTGCTAGCAGCTGCTTTCTTGCAGCCTACTAACAGTCTAATAGCAGTTGTGTAATCAGGATTGCTTTAGAAGGGTGAAAATTAATAAGATGACCATTCAGTTCTACAACAGCAATTCTGTTATGATCCAATCTAATGTTTTTGCTGAACAAGTCAGTTTTCAGTCATCTGAAATCTTGCTTGATCATTTTTTCAGTTTTACCAAAGTGATCTTTCAAGTATGCAATCTGCAAATTTGGTTTTAACAATTAAACAGAAGTTTATTGTGCAAAAAATAAAAATGGTAGAATAAACTAAACTATTTATATGTAACACAAGTTTAAAAATTTTGAAACACAAAATAAAATCCATTTATCAACAGCATTCTTTTACAGTTCTCACGTTAGAGAGAATTTCCTTCTCTATCAGCGTAAATGATGCTTCAGTTCTCACTTGAGAATATGATAGCCT